TGCTTATGGGTACCACATTGAGGATGGCTGACCTCTATTAAGCTATAAAGCAGGTAGCCTTTAAACAAAAAGGGGGGGGGGGAAATCATCATCACAGGCTCTCTGCCTCATTTACTTCTCTCTCCCCGGCTTTCCTGGCCTCTCACAAGTGAGTACCCTGTTTAAAAGGGATAATGAAAAACAAAATGAAGTGGGGCAGAAACCCTCATACTAAATTAGTCCAGAAAATGATGATGGGACCACATGTCCGAGCTCTGTTGCATTAGGACACCGAGCTCATTTTCAGAAGTAGAAAGCGCACACTGTCAGCCATTTATCTGACGCAACAGAAAACCCCTAAGAGCTATAATCTCAGCGCTTTAGGAAAACACCATCAAAGTTATGCTGACGAGGTTTTTCGTAAAGTTTATTAATTACAGGACATTATTAGCTAACCACAGTCCAGGAACATTGTTTGAATGTTAAACTAAAGCACGGTGCCCATTTAGCTCAGATGTATGCTGTGGTCTTTTGAATTATCTTAATGACTAGGGAAAAGGCCCGTTGTGGAAATAAATGCAACGACCTCTAGAAAGAGGCTCTGGGTGGGTTCCCCCAGCCTTGGACACTCAGTGTCAATTTGCTGTGGTGACCTCGGCAGGGTATAATGACACTGAGTTCACCATTTTCTCCAGAGGAACTGATCTCTGCTACCTAAAGAACAGTTGTAATTTTGAGTGCTCTCCAGTCCTCACCTGGAGATTGGCAACGATGGTTCCCCAGAAGGGAATGGTTGGTTTGGAGGGTGGAGTCTATGGCTTTGTACCTGTCCGAGGTCCCATGCCTCCTGAAACCTCACCCTCTCCAGGCACCATCCCTCACATCTCCAGGAATTTCCCAAATGGAGTTGGCAACCCTGTCTCCTTCCCAGCCAATCATCAACCTATCTTTATTTCCCCCTCACTCTTCAGCTTTCCACCCCCCACACACCTGCAGCCTCTCCCGTGCTCTGAAGCCCTGACCTCTACGTCACATTGGCTGTCATGGGGGCCACCTCAGCAGCATATAAGGATACAGAGCCCACCATTTTCTCCAGGGGAACTGATCTCTGCCATCTGGAAAGCAGTTGTAATTCGGAGTGATCTCCAGCCCTCACGTGGAGATTGGACACATTTTACCTCAGAAGAGCAAACTGTTTAGAATGTTAGAGGCAAAAGCTAATCAAGTCGCATATGCAAATGACCTCTGTGTTCTGACTGGCTGTGGGGGGGAGAGGAAGAGCAAACTGATTAGAATGTTGGAGGCAGGACTCAGCAAAAGAAGCACGTGGATAGGGAGACCCTCTGAATGACAGATCAGAGAGCGAACTGATTTTGGAGCGTGTGGAATGTTCTAGAGAAGTGCCACCACCATTCGGCTTTTATTTATAAGGGAGATGTTATTTTTATGATTTTATTTGTGAGTCACCTTGAGCAGGTTTCTGGAGAGGCGGCATGGACATTTTTGAAACAAAATAAATGAATACATCTGAAATTGTTACCTGTAGAAGTTTGGTGTCTGAATTTGAATTCTGAGTTCCGATATAATTTTTCCCTGAGAAAAACAATTTGGTGGTTGCAAAATAGTGTCACTGCTCTGTCAGGTGTACGTGTCCGAGCATTCACAGCAAACCAAGGCCTTTATAGGCTCCTGAGTCACAAGTTCTTCATAACTGCTCTGAGGCTGTGGTCACACACACTAAATAATCCATTTTCAGTGCACTTTCCAACTGGATCTTGCCAGTTCATACAGACCGATTTCCCACAAGCGCTGCTCCACGCTCGCTCTTCCCTTTTGCCCCATGGTATGTGTCAATTTCACACAAGCTGCTGCGGGGCCGCATTTTGCCCCCCCCCCCCCGTGTCTACTCAATCCTGTTTTTTGAGGATTGAGTAGACGTGGGGAAGCTGCGGGACAAAATGCAGCCGTGCAGCAGCTTGTGTGAAATTGACACGTACCATCGAGGCAAAAGGGAAGAGCGAGCACGGAGCAGTGCTTGTGGGAAATCGGCCACAGTAAAATCCAGTTGGAAAGTGCACTGAAAGTGGATTGTAAGTGGATTATTTAGTGTGACCGCAGCCAAGGATGCCATTCTGGACACTCCTGTCAAAGCATAGAGTAGGAAAGATCGTTTCCTCCCTGCCCAATTTTAATTTTTTTTTTTGCTTCATCTTTAGACTCCCCCTTTCTAGAATTCTAAGATCTACAGTCTACTGAAAAATCATTTGACCTTTGCTCAGGGCCCAGGGCAGGATGGATTCCCCCAAAGGTAGGCGTCAGCAAGTCTGTCCTGTTTCCAAAGCGACGCTTATCCACTTCAAGGTCAGTGGAAGGCAAAGAGCAATAACGAAAAGCCAGCAAATGTCAAAAACATTGTTTCATGGTTACTATTTACAGCACAGTTACAGGCACGAATAATAATACTGCTGACATCACAAGTCTCGTATCCGCCATTCTCTTCGGGTAGACCTGAGAAAACAAGCTAGCTGCCCCTTCTCTTTTGCAAATTCATCACATCCATAGAGAACTATTGACGCCTGGTTTTATGAGAGTTTTCTCAGGATGTATTCCTCCCCCCACCCTTTTTTGTAGAAATCCATTATCATTTTTTTAAAAGGTCAGTTCAGGATTAAATTCAAAGGAGTACTCTTGTTGAGCAGTAATCCTTTCCTGCTCTTTGATAGGTAAGAAACGCTCACCCCCGTCCCCATTTCTATTATTGCTGCCTTCATTTGGTTTTTTTTAAAGGACCTCATTAGAATTCCACATAATGACATATATCTTTTAAAAACAGATGGGAATCTGCAAGAACCGGAGAGATTTCCAGGCAGTGAATCCAGAAGCAGAGTCTAGGAGCTACCGCAGAGTATCAGTTGAAAATGTGTGAGCAGAAATGTCTATAATCCACACCGTTTTCCAGCACAAGCTACTACCCATATCACAGGGTGGGAGAAGAGGTGTGGTCCGCATTCCATTCTGTGTTTGGTTACGGCTGTTCCAGGTTTTCTCCTATGGCCATCCAGGGCGATTCTGCATCTGGCATTCGCTCCACATTTTCTCAGCGCTGAGAAAAAGGTGCAGCTCAAAACCACATTCAGATACCTTGGGGGCAACGCCGTACTGACTGCGAAGTCACCCCTGAAAGGCCATTAAACTATGCAGAAGGTACCATAAAACCCAATGATCAAAGGTGAAAGCAGCATGCAAGGCAGAGGGTACCACCATCAAATCTGATGGTCAAAGAAAGTGAAAGCAGCATGCAATGCAGAGGAGAATTTCTGTTCCAACATGGGCTTGGTAAAACCACGGAGGGAAAAGCCAAAGCAGAATTGCCCCCACTTAAAGAAGGAGAAGGTGTTGCTATAAACAGGGTAAACCTGTCCCAACACATTGCTCACACTGTCCCTGTTGCTTCCCTGTTGGGACCTCCTTTTCTTTGTTGGTGAATTTGCACTGTTGAATGAGGCCCACCAGTGCCTGTTACCCTGGGGCATGAACAGGAGTTTTATGTCCTGAGATGGAAAACTTCAGCTGATTCCTCCAAACCAAGCTGTTAAAGGCACATAAGCTAGCCAGATCAGATTTTCTCCTCTGCCCCCTGGTTAGTTGGCAACCAGTATTCAGGGTCAGTGTCAACAGTCAGCACGGTCGGGTACCTGCAGATGCAGAGTCCACAATGGAACTGGAGACACAGCCAATCTATAGCCCGGCAGCAGTGGAGGAAGCAGGTAACACAAAGTAACTTCTACCACCCTTCAGACACCGGTTCCCAGTGAGAAATAAGGGGTTGGCCCACAGACTCCAGGGACATTACAGAGACCTCCGGGGCAATCTGCCAATTCTTGGGAGGAAAATGGTCTTTGTAGGATAGATACTCCATCGTGTCCTTGAGTGTCGCCACTATTTGGGGCAGGGGAAAAACAGGACTTCCGGTGGAGAGGTCCATAGACACCCCAGCAGACAATAAACTATGGTAGCCGGCCCTGCCTATATTGATCCCATGAACACATTCCCCTACACATCTTATACGTATTCCATACAATCCTAAATCAAGAGTTATACCCATCAAAGTGCACTGACTCCAATGGACTTTGAAGGGTGTAACTCTGTTCAGGATGGCACCTTTTATCTGCTAATGCTATATAATAATATTGCGTTCTCTACAAATATTGCTATGTCACCATTCCCAAGACCTGCATCCCCGGCCGAGGGCATCTGATTCTCTAGGGCTGCTTTGGGTTCATGGGGGCAATTGTGCAAATAACACATTTTTTTAAAAAAAAATGAAGGATCTTGTGCATTGAGCTCTAGGAAGCAGGAGGCGCTTGTGTAAGGGGGTTAAGCAAAACTGATTTACAGGACAGCAGCAGACAGAAGGGAAATGAGCTGAAATGTGACAAGTGAGTTTGGTGCAGACAGTCGTAGAGAAATGAGACCTCTGCTCGTAGGGGGATGAATTTCCCCTTTCCAAGCCATGGCGATAATACCAAAACAAAAACATTGCACATCTCTCCTTAAATGCCCCTTCCATTAAAATCCATACTAGATCGGGGCAACTGGACCAAAAGCATGCAAACTAAGCCGATACTGGCAGAATTTCCTAAATTGCATAACGCAATTGAATCACAGGATGTGGGACTGTGTTCAAAATCCTGAGAGTGAATGAGCATGCAGCACTCTTGGGTGTTTTCTCCAGTGCATTCGTATCTCTTGTTCTCCAGCAAATCCCACATCGATAGCACCGAGGTCCCCAGTAAGGGATACCTGCCTTTCCCTCCTCCACATTTTAAAAGTACAGTCTTGACAAGCTATCACTTCTTGGCTTGACACAGAACTCTACAACTGCATCCACCTGAAGTTGCAATACAAACTCAGCATACCAGTATCAATTTCCATATTTTTACATTTTAACGAATGCTTTCCCCGAAACTTCACCCATTAGCATGAATACAATGGGTATTTTCCCCAGGTTGTCCTGGTCTCTAGGCCTGGGGGTTGCCTCCCAAATGCTCCAGTTCAGTAGCGGCTCTGGAGCCTCTACCAGATCCCTTCTTTCTGCGACGGAACTCTTCCGCAATTTCTTCAAATGATTTTCCTTTTGTTTCCGGCACTTTGAGGTATATAAACATACCGAAGCCAAAGAGCATAGCGGCAAAGATGAGAAACACATACGGTCCAGTGAACCTCTGTAATGGGCAAAGCAGAAAGAAAATCCCAGTTAATACATTTCTCCCCATTATCAACAATGGTGATCGGTCAGGAAAAGGTTGCATTTTGGTGACTGCAGAATATTTGTTCCTCTTCCAGAACTGGGAAACAATTCTATCACATTTCTCTAATGAAATCTCACTCTTCCTCTAAAGAGTCCAGGGAAGCATACATATTTCCTCTCCCCATGGGCATTAGGGTTGCCAGACCTCGCAGTGGAGGTGGGGGTCCCGTGAAGACAGTCCCCACCTCTCTGCTGCCAATCAGCTGGCTGGTAGGGAGGAACTTACCCTGAAAAAGGAAGTGATCCATCTGATGTGCAGCGACGTGTCTATGTCACTGCCCACGTGACCCAGAAGTGACACCATCACATCCAGGATGTCAGGGTGATACTCTGGTATTTGGGCAAAATCTCTATGGTAGAAGCCAAATTTACCATAGAATTTTTGCCCAAATTCCAGAGCGTCCAGGCATGATGACGTCATTTCTGGGTAATGTGGGCAGTGACATAGAAACATTGCTGTATGTTGGATGGGCCTCCCTTCTGCTCCCGGTAAATCCCCCCTCCCCCACTGGGGGGCACCATGTTTGGGACCCCGATGTACACCATCAAAGTAAAAAATTGTTACATAATGAAGTGAACAATTCATTCTAAGAGTACTGGCTTACAGGGGTTTTGTTTTATTATTTTTGTCCTAAGTAAAAGCAAGTTAGGTTTAGACAAAATTTATTTGGGTGAAAACAGGTTTTTTTGGGGGGGAAGGTTGTTTGTTTGTGCGTGTGTGCGCGCACACATTTGTGCGTGCATGCCTAGAAGTCATTCTTGACTTCTGGCAACTCCTAATGGGGCTTGGACCTTCAGAGAGGTGGCTTGCTATTGCCTGCCCCTGCATCCTGGCTCTGGTATTCCTTGGAGGTCTCCCATCCAAGTACTTGCCAGTGTTGGCCCTGCTGAGCTTCCAAGAACTGACAAGATTGCGTTTGTCTGGGCTATCCAGGTCAGGGCTGGTTGAAAACAGTTGAGAAGCAATGTAACTCTGTTCAGCACTCACTCCAGGATTTGAACTCTCACCCTCCACCAAAGAACAGTGTAAATTTGTACAGAGTTATATGAGGCCTTGCCAACCTCCAGGTGTCATCTAGAGATTTCCTGGAATTATACTTGATCTCCAGATTACAAAGATCAATTCCCTGGATAAAATGACTGGTTTGGAGGGTAGCTTCTATGGCATTTTGCCCCACTGGGGTCCTCCCCCTCCCCAAACCTCCCCCTCCCCAAACTCCACCCCACCCCAATCTCCAGGAATTCCCCAACCTGGAGCTGGCATCCCTAAATGGAGGTGACACACATTGCTTCCAAATCTGTTTGGGCCATCCCTGACTGGACATCGTTTATTTATTTCAAATATCCCTGAGCCTACCCTTTCCCCAAGGTGAGCATTAAAAGAGAAACAAAAACAACAATAAAATCGTAAGCAAAACGGCAGCCATCAAAAACGACAGCCTGAAAAAACACTTGACTTGTCATCTAACTGTGCCCTGAGCCCTAAACTCAGCCAGCCCGAAGCTCTCTTCATAATAATTTGGTTTTATAGCCTTTCCAGAAGTCTAGGAGGTTAGGAGTAGTCCTCGCATTATTTGAGAGGCTGTTCCAGAAGAAAGGGGGACAACTGATATAGCCCGAGTCTCAGCAGCAACCAATCATATACTATGCAAGGGAAGGGACAGTGAGAAGAAACTGCTGGAGAAATCAGAATTGCCCCAATACTGTAAAGGTAGCATTGTGCTGGTGGGCCCCTAAGTCAGGTCTGTATGTCAACAAGTACCTCACATTGGTCAGTAGTATTACGGATCAAGGCTTTCTTCATTGGTCTGCCATCAAGTTGCAGCCAACTTCTGGCATCCCCACGGAGTCTCCCATCTCTCCATTAGCGTACTGCATTTTCAAATGCAGAATTGGGGTTCCCTGTCCTTCCTCATGCATCAGGACAGAATTCATGGCTATGATTTTCAAATCTGGGAATATGTCTTCCATCTGCCATTTCCCCCCCCATTTCTAGCCTGCTCTGTTCCCAACCGTAATGTTTAAACAGACGAAGCCCTTCAAACGCCACCTTTGTGACAGGATAATAAACAAACTAGGCTTTCTTACAGCTATGTATTGGAAGCACATCCCGACCATGAAGTTGGAGAACCAATTGGCAAAGCCAGCCAATGCGACCGCGGATGGTCGAGGGCCTTGGCTGAACAGCTCAGAAACAATAAACCAGGGGATTGGTCCCGGCCCGAGTTCGAAGACGCTGACAAAGACAAAGATGGCCACCATGCTGACGTAGCTCATCCAAGCATGTGTAACCTAAAAAAAAAATGACAGCAAGACTCATATTAGCAACATTTAGGGTTGCCAAATTTTTAAAACGTACCGGCGGGGGAGCGTCCTGCCGGTCCGGGAGTTGTCCGAGTATGCGCGCGCCGCCAGAGCGTCACCGGAAGTGACGTCATACGCTGGGCGGGGCCACGCCATTTGAGGGGAAAACAAAGAGTTTTCCCCTCAAATGGCGTGGCCCCGCCCCCAGCGTGCGACGTCACTTCCGGGTGACGCGCACGCCGGGGCGGAGTTCCCTCCGGGCCCCGATTCCCCGGCGTTGGGTAACGGGCCTCCGGGGCGGGGGGAATTCCGCCCTACCGTGGGGGTTGGCAGCCCTAGCAACATTTGAGGTCACACTGTCAGGGTTTCAAGAACCGCAAGGGTAAGAAAGAAGCCTGATAAAGGGTCGATATTAAAAACCTAGTGTAAACTTATTATATACAAAAATACATGTATTTATTAGAAAGACAGTTAAAAGCATATAAGGGCCCAGTGAAGGCCTCGATAGAAAGTGCAAGTGACCTGAACACAAGGGCCAGTACAAGTGACCGTATGCATTTCTGCCCCTTAGGGGCCTTCTTCAGAGGTCAAACAATTTGAGGTACAGACACATGTTACAATGTGACATATTACAATGAAACTAGGGGTCATTTCCTGCAGGAGCGCACAGGAGCGGAGCTCCAGCAGTAAAGAGCCCAGGGGGCGGGCACATGCAACAAGCCCCACCGCCTGCTCCCAGCACCACTCAAGCAAGAAGCAGCCAGGTAAGTTGCAGAGCTCCCCCAGGTCCAAAACAGTCCAGTGGGACCTTTAACACCAAGTTTTATTCAGGTACAAGCTCTCCCTCCTCTACGAGGACAGATCTGCACGTTCCCCCCCCCCCCAATAGCTAGCAATCCAAAACAGTCCAGTGGAGCCTGAGCGGTGGGTGTTGCCTTCTGACACACGTCTGGTGATGTCAGGGGGCGTGGCATATGCAAATAAGTTATGCTAATGAGTTATGCTAATGAACTCCTGCACCTCTTTTCCTACGAATGACCCCTGGAAATAACCAATAAGCTAATACTGGACCAAAAAAGGAAAATTAAGCAGCAAGATTAATAGACACGAGACAAGGGTGTTTATGAGGCCTCTTAAGATGAGAGTCATCTGTCTGGTGCAATGCTCCCTCTCAGCTGTGGAGTCTTGTGAGCAAAAATTCTGCTTTGTGAGCTACTGGCATTAAAGTTGTGAGCAAGCGATTTGGCCGCTGCATAAATTAGTTTGCTCTGTCTGGAGCCACCCTTCCTGAGCTCAGACAAAAATGTGTGAGCCAGAGGCTAAAAAACTGAGCTAGCTCACACTAACTCAGCTTAGAGGGAACACTGGTCTGGTGCCAGATGCACAGCTGTTGAATTAGAACATCTTCTAATTCTGGTCCAGAAAATACCTATGTGACTATCACAGCTGGAGTGTCCCCAACAGATTACGCTCTCCCTTCCCCCGTGTAAGACTGCTTCCTGAACTCTGGGAAACAAGGACTTATAGCTGTGGTAAAATGGGTTGAGAACATGTTAGGATACTGGACTAGGACATACAGATATATGGGAGATATAAGGGATATATGGGAGTTCATATCCCTACCCTGCTATGGAAGCTTGCTGGGTGACCTTTGATCAGTGTCTCTCAGCCTAATCTATTTTACAGGGTAGATGTTGTACAGATAAAAAGGTTAGGGATCCCCAGTCCCCCCGGGGGGGCGGGGAAACCCCCGCCCCAGAGGCCCGTTCCCCGGCGGCGCTGGATTGGGCCCCAGGGGGAACTCCTCCCCGACGTACGTGTCACCAGGAAGTGACGCTGGCATGCCGGGCACGCTGGGGGCGGGGCCATGGCCATACAAGCGAAAACTCTATGGTTTTCCCTTGTATGGTCATGGCCCCACCCCCAGCGTGCCCGGCGTCATAACGTCACTTCCTGGTGACGTGCATGCGGCGCATGTGCGCGCTCCGGGAGACACCCGGGAGTCCCCCGCGGAAGAGGTAAGTGACACTTGGCAACCCTAAAAAAGGTGAAGGGGAGAAAGATATAGAAAGATGCGTTGGGTCCCTGTTGGGGAAATGTGGGGCATAAATTAAATACAAATACAATATTCAGGCCTGGCTGGCCTTTGGCAAAGGCAAGGAGAGGCCACTTGGAGCTTAGACCAGAGAGTGTGCATTTCCTATAAGCTCCATTCCACAGGGACCTCCTGCATTTTCTCACCCCACAGATCCTCTTGACTGCCAATGGCCTGGATAACATGTCCAGTTTGATAATTAGGGGAGGGGCTGTGTGGGTCAGTGGAAAAGCCTCCGCTTTGCATGCAGAAGGTCTTTGGTTCAATCCCCAGCACTTCCACTTAAAAATATCAGCAGGCGGGTGATGTGAGCGACCTCTGCCTGAGACCCGGGAGAGCTGCTGCCAGTCTGAGCAGACAATACTGACTTTGATGGGCCAAGGGCCTGATTCAGTATAAGGCGACTTCATGTGTGTATATCCGGCAGTAAAGAGCTCCGGCAGTAAAGAGCCCAGGGGGCGGGCACATCCAACAAGCCCCACCCCTTGCTCCCAGCAGCCCTCCGTCAGAGCAAGAAGCAGCCAGGTAAGTTGCAGAGGACCCCCCCAGCCCAAAACAGTCCAGTGGCACCTTTAAGACCAAGTTTTATTCAGGTACGAGCTCTCCCTCCTCTGCGAGGACAGATCCGCACGTTTCCCCCCTCCCATAGCTAGCAATCTAAAAGAGTCCAGTGGAGCCTGAGTGGTGGGTGTTGCCTTCTGACACACTTCCAGTGATGTCCGGGGGTATGGCATATGCAAATAAGTTATGCTAATGAGTTATGCTAATGAGCTCCTGCACCTCTTTTTCTACGAAATGACCCCTGATTAAAAGTCTTTTGTCCAAAGTTCGCTCACACCTATGGCCTTCAGCAATGACCCAAGAGTGGTCAGAGTGTCAGACTAGGATTGGGGAGACCCAGGTCCAAATCCCCACTCTGCTGTGGAAGCTTGATGGGCAACCAAGGGCCAGTGGCACACTCTCAAGCTCACCTACCTCACAGGGTTGTCGTGAGGATAAAATGAAGGAGGGGAGAATAATGTAAGCTGCTTTGTGGGGGGAAGGGTGGGGCATAAATGAAGACGTCAGCCTTGGCTCACTGTGCAAGTGAAGGAGGGAAGACTCATGAGAGTCAGGTTTGTTCACGACATCTGAACTGAGTCCAGTTACACAGGAAGGTTTTATAGGCTGAATTGAAGCTTTTATACGTGTCAGTCCTTGTCACGTGACCTCTTCTAGCATATTGCTGTTCAGGATGCTTCTGTTCTGGCTAGTCTGAATACCCTGAAGTTCCCACTTTGGCCAGAGCTTGGTGGTGCAGAGACCAACTCCTTACCCACCATCCCTCAGGTTCTGAATCTGGCATAGGCCCAGGGTTTTTTGCTGTTGTTCTCTAGGTATCAGTATAAACTGAGGTTGTAAACCCTCAAACGCCGAGACAGCAAATAGGTGAATAGCTACACCTAGTGGCAGAACGTAGTATTACCCTTCATAGAACAATGAGAATCACCTAACACACAAAAACCCTGCAGCTCACACTGAACAGAATGCCCTTTGAGAAGCAAGATGAACGTTTATGTAGCTGGAGAGTTCTACTGAGAGGTAGGATATCATGCTTTTCAGGCCACATAAATAATTCCTGAACAGATGCATCTTACCTGAAGTGTGAGTCCAACTGTCATTAATATTGTGCACAGGAACATGCCAAACATTCCACCAAGGAACAGGATGCGCCTCCCTGCTTTCTCTATCAGAAAGAGCTAGAAAGGCAACAGTTAGGTCAGGCTTTATGTCCATATTGCCATATTCAATCCTAACAACTGCATCCTTCTGACTCAGTGGTATAAAGTGTGCCTCAGACCTTCTTGCTACTATGTCTACATTGAAGCTGGATTGGTAGTGAGGCAGTCAGAGGTGGGAAGAGGGCTTTCTGTTATCAAGCCACATATGCAAGGCTGGTATAGCACGTCAGTGAAAGCATGCATGCTATACTCGGAAGAAACTGGTAGAAATGCCCTCTTGGCCGTGAACTCACTATCACTGCTGCCCTAGGCACAGTTACAACCTTCTAAGCCCATTGACTTCAAGGATGTAACTCTGCATAAAATGGGGGGGGGGTGGGGGGGGGGGGGGCACCGCAAATCAATCTCAAAGCAATCTATGCTGCAAGGACAGTCATTCTAGAAACTGGGCTTGGGAAATATATCCAGACAGAAATCCAGCAGGTATAGAATATTTGCTATTTACCTACCTAACAGGTATCTGCTCGGTTGTCAAGCTAAAAGGCCAAACTGTGAGTGAATGACCCCTAATTTGTATGCAGGCATAATATACAAGACTGTTCATTGCTTATCTGGTGCAAGACTCAAGGTGTCTCTTAATTTATAATCTCTGTGCTTTCTGGAGCACAGCCTTCACTATTCTGCTAAATATAATAATCGTGTGCTGTCAAGTCGCAACTGACTCGTGGCAAACCGGTTTTCAAAGCAAGAGATGAGCACAGGTGGGTTGCCATTGCGTTCCTCTGCATAGCAACCCCAGTCTTCCTTGGTGGTCTTTCATTCAAGTACCGACCATGTCCAACCATGTTTAGCTTCCAAGCTCCAATGGACACAGGCTAAGTTGGGCTATTGGGCTGCTTGTTCCCATAAATAGCAGCGATTTTATTTCTAGAATTTCCAGGCACCCCTTTGGCAATCTCAGAGCAGGGAGCAGTGCTGGTCAAAGCAAGCTCTTAAGCTGGTAGCCGTACACTGATGTGTATTGTAGAGGCAGCTCCAAGAGCCCTGGTGGTTTCCCAGGGCATTTGCAGGTGAGGGCCTCTCCGTTTTGGGTATCTGCCGTCCTTACCTCAGTAGATTTCTTGACCCTTGGAGCACAGCCTGGCAGTGGCTGCCTTGGCTTTTGGCTGCTCATCTGCAGAGGTTGCTCTTTTTGAAAGGGCAGAGTGATAAACACATGGAATTCACTGCCACAGGAGGTGATGGCGGCTACAAGCATGGACGGCTTCAAAAGGGAATTAGATAAGCATATGGAGCAAAGGTCCATCAGTGGGTATTAGCCACAAAGTATAGATAGGGACTCTGGGGCAAGTGATGCTCTGTCTTCTTGGTGCTTGGGGGGGTCAACAGTGGGAGGACTTCTAATGTCCTGGCCCCACTGGTGGACCTCCTGATGGCACCTGGTATTTTTGGCCACTGTGTGACACAGAGTGTTGGACTGGATGGGCCTTTGGCCTGATCCAACATTGGCGTCTCTTATGTTCTTATGAGAGGAGGCAGAAAAACCAACCTACATAATTTGAAAGGCAAGCGAATTCTCGATAGCGAATTCTCTTTCTCAGCTCTCTCTACCCCATGCATAATTTTATAAACCTCTATCATGTTCCCATGAAAAGTACAAGGAGTCCTGATTAGAATGCTCATCTGTGCATTCCCAGTACAGTATGTTTGGTGTTTTGGGAGTGAAAAAAATGACACGTATCTGCTCCAGCATGGAAGACTGAAAGCACAGCTGGTGATGGTCCACGATATTTTGATGTCCAAGAAGACTGTCCAACTGGCACCCATTATGGCAGTAAAAATATAAACTAGAAAATTTACTTTTTTCCCTGCTGTCTTCGGTGATCTGTGTCTGCCATTTGCTACCTTAGTCTAGCAAGCCCTTTGTACAGCCTTCAAAGAAGTACACAAGGAGGAGGAGGATCGACAACAGCAAAAATTAAGTGGGAAACAGTACAAGATGATTGCATCGACAAAAAGTATGTAAAGGTTTTACTTACAGCAACAACAGTGAACAAAGTGTTTATAGCACCCACTCCGATGGTTGCGTAAACAGGCTCTTTGATGCCAGATTCAGTGAAAATGTCTGTAGAGTAGTAGAAAATCTAAGGAAGCAGATGACAATTGACCATTAAAAAGCTTCAGTGGCTAGTGAAAGGGACACTGACATTGGATTGGCGGCAGTTCTTTTCCCCTCCTCAAAGATCCTGGGAACCATAAAAATCCCACTGAATTCCTCAGGCTTACCTTCTTCCTTCATTTACTTCCCTCCAAAGTACCAATCTGTACTTATTTCTATCAGTTTGATATTCACTCCCCCCCCCCACTCCTCTGGTCATGTTTGCTTATATCATTTGCATACCAGTTTAACTATCCTGGCATCCCCTAGGATATGAGGGAAAAATAATTTGTACTTGGGCTTCACAGGACTCTATTTCCCAGGGTTCCTTGCAGAAACAGAATCTGTTTGAAGTGCAGTTTAGCTATTCTGAACAATACTGTAATTCCATCTAATGCAAAATACACCACCTTGAAGTTATGCACAAGAAGAGAAAGAACTAAGTAATATTTTATATTCTATTGGTCAAGTGTGGCCTAATCTACAGATACCTAAATCTGAAGATCGGGGCCACACTGGCTGAAAACGTATTTCTGCAAATTTTTCGGACCATCAAAGTTTGCAGAAAAATCTCAAAAATGTTTTTAAAAAATACATTGGGAGGTTCTAATCCTCCCCCCCCCCAAAAGCATTGTTTGTGTAAGTACAGAAAATGCTCCTACCCAGGGCTATTTTTGGGCAGGGACGCAGAGGAACGAAGTTTCGGCTGGCTTCAGAGTTGGCCACGCCCACTACAGCCAAAACTTCTGCATGCGTGGCTACAGAGGGAAGGCCTGGAGAGCGACCCTCACCTGGCGACTCCGAGGCGGGCAGGCCGAGGGGCCCCCTGGAAGGATCAGGGAGGCATTTAAATGCCTCCCCCGGCCTGTCCAAGTTGCAGGGCACCCGGGCAAGCCAAGGGAAGGCATGGGGTGTGGCCTAATATGCTAATGGATTTCTGCTGTTAGGTGTGGCCTATTATGCTAATGAGTTCCTGCTGGGCTTTTTCTACAAAAAAAGTCCTGCTCCTTCCTCTTCCTACTCTATCGGTGGGCCTGGTGGTGAGAGGAATAAAGCCTCATCAGACACAGTGGAAGTAGCAAGGATGCGGGCAGCTCCAGCAGTAGGGTTGCCAAATAATTCTTCGCTCATTAGGAGCCATACCAAGCTTGTCGCTGGGAGTGGTGATGGTTGGGGGACTCAGTGGACCTTCCAGGACCGTCACCACCAGAAGCAGTGGGGGGGGGGAGGTGAAAGAAGCCACAATGGGCTTTGCAGCCGTGGTGATGGGGGTTAGCCAGGAGCTGCAGCAGGCAGTAGTGGGGGGGGGGGAGAGAAAGCAAAGAGGGGGAAGGGATCCCCCCTGGGAGTATCACAGGTCCTCACCCATAGATGTGTAAACCTTGTGACAGAGCAACTGTTCTTGTTTTGCCTCAAAGGAAGGCAGACAGGACAGGGCATGACTCCACCAGCAAGCATAGGTCTCAACTTCTTCTCTCTCCCCCCTTTAAACCAATAGGAGTTCTACATGTTTAACACTGTCTGGATCGCACCCAAGGGTGCAAGGTACCTTGTAAATAACAAGACAGCCAAAAAAACCTATTGTATTTCTAGTCTTTCTGGGGCAGATTACCTTCTCATCACACTACACAAACAGATGCACATGCACTGGCACAAATGGACAGAGCACTGAATTCGTAGCACTGGCTGCAAAAATCAGCCTTTGGCTGTATTTCCAGGAAAGCAGATCATCCATGGCACTTTGAATAGCTCCTGAGACCAATGGCATCAAGGAACAGCAGCTGTGGCTCAGTGGTAGAGCAACCTACTTTGCATGCAGGGGCTTCCAGGTTCGATCCCCGGCATTTGCAGCTAAGGGATCTCAGACAGCAGGTGATGGGCAGATCTTTCCCCACCAGAAGAGCCAGTAACCCGTCAGGGGAGACACTACTAAACCACATGGGACTGTCTTGGTACCACTTGGAAGCTTCCTATGTTCAAAACGTTGCCTTGACTTCAGTCATCTTGGACTGGGCTAAGAGCCCTGCTTGATTATCTGCTTATTTGACTTTAGTCGCTACGAAGATTCGCTAGGCAACTCACAGCATTGATCCCTGAAAACTGCTGAGCGAGGTGCACCATGATAGCCACTAAGAACGGCTGCCTGTAGGTGGTGGAAGTGATCAGCTGCACAATGGAAACGGGCTTCTCCTTGGAGGCTTCCTCTTTCTCTCTTTCCATTTCCTCCATGTCTTTGGTAGGATCGTAGTTTCCTCTCAGCCACAGCAAGCCTGGGAAGGGGGACAGGAGAGGGGAAATGATGTGATTTTTTTTCTCTCTCTCTGACTCACGGCCACAAACGTTTATGCTATGACAGATATGTTCGGCCAGGGGTAGGCAACCTCTGGCACCCGACCTGTGCCGGGCAGCAGCACACCCTGACCCTTTTGCTCAGCACGCCTGGCTGGGTGTCCATCCACACAACCCAGGAGAGCTTCTGAAGGGCTGGAAGTGCCACTGTTCGGAGGGGGGGGTGAAGGAGAAGGAGGTTGGGCATGGCCAGGCCTTTTTTTGTAGATAAAGCCCAGCAGGAACTCATTAGCATTATAGGCCGTACCCTGAGCACAGCTCATTCGTATATTAGGCCATACCCCCGTGTTACCAGAAGTGTGGTCATCCAGCCACACCCACCTTTTGCTTCTTATTCTCTTTACCTTGTTTGTTGTCAAAACCTAGGACTTTTTGCATGTTAAGCCACACACCCCTAATTGTAGCCAATCCTAATGCGTTTCTGCTGTTGGGTGTGGCCTATTATGCTAATGAGTTCCTGCTGGGCGTGGCTAGCTTGTGAGCCAGCCGGAACTCCGTTCCTGTGCGTTCCTGCCCAAAAATAGCCCTGGGCATGGCTTATGCCCTTCCTTGCCACCTGTAGCTGGGAGCACCTCTGGCTCTGAGCTGGCCAAAGGTTGCCAACTCTAACCTGGGAAATTCCTGGGGACCTTGCCTGTAGAGGGGAGGATTTGAGGAGGGATTTCATCTAGAATCTATGATATACAGGGCTGCTAGTTTCCCGCTTGGGTCAAGAAGTTTCCCTGTGTTAGATGTTGTAAGATTCTTTGTTGATATGGCGGCAACCGTCTTAAAGTCTGGTTTGCACAAGCGGAAAAGGGAGGTAGGAGAAAGCAGAGATTACAAAACGTACTAAAGCACAGGGACTGTAAGTCATGGAGGATGACATACTGGAATGTTTTGGGGTTTTTTGGCATTCCTCCGATGATCCCTCCTTTCTAACCAGTGTTTTAATTTCTTTTTAAATGTTTTCTATGTATTTTAACGTTGTTTTTAACTGTTTTGAGAGCAAGAGACCAGTAGCATCTTAAAAGACTAACAATATTTGTGGCAGGGTATGAATTTTTATGAGTCATTGCTCACGTCTTCGGCTGCATCTGAAGAAGTGAGCAGTGACTCACACAAGCTCATACCCTGCCACAAATATTATTAGTCTTTAAGGACTTGGGATGCCAGCGTCCAGGTGGGACCTGGGGATCCCCCGGAATTACCGTACACCACAGACATCAGTTCCCCTGGAGAAAATGGATTCTAAGGAGGGTGGACTCTAGGGCATTGTACCCCACTGAGTTCCCTGTTCTCCCCAGGCTCCACCCCCAAATCTCCAGGAGTTCCCCAACCTGGATCTGGCAAACCCTACCACCCCATTCCCCCGCTGGTGGTCAGAGGGAACCTGACAACCCTATTGGACTCTTGCTCTTTTCTACTGCTACGTGGCAATTTTGCACTGAAGAAAGTCAGTCTATAAGTAGGTAAATCAATCGTGCGCCCGTCGCGCCCCCACTGCCTCTCTTCCCCCAGAACCAATGGCCACGACAAGTGGTTCCCATTCCAAGTTGGAGGGGGAAGGTAGTCCATCTGTGATGCGTTTGATCCTTCTCTCCAAAACTGACTTCAGATTTGGGCCCTCATGACAGCTCGAAGCTTGGAGGAACGGCAGATGAGATCATAAATATTTATCAAAATGGTCTTACTTTTCTTGGCTGCCTCCAGCTCCCCTACTTTGATGTACAGGTATCTCGGGCTCTCCGGGCAAAAAAAGAGCAAGAGCAGTTGAAGCAAAGCAGCAAAGCCAGACAGGCTAAGAAGCACTGGCCACATAGAGCTACTCCCCAGCAGGAAGCGTAGGCCGAGGATCTGAGGAAAACATTATTAAATTAAGTTCCTTTGTCAAACAAGTGACTTTCGGCATTAACAATGAATAGATGACATGCTAGTGAACCATTTCAACAAACATACAGATAGTGCATATAAATAAATAATAATCTTTTTTAAAATCCCCCTTTTCTCCAAAGGCCCGTTTTAAAAGAATTTGGGCTTGCTTGCTCGCAGGATTTGGGGAGGGTTCTCAGCTTAGTGGTCAAGCATCTCCTTTGAATGCTGAAGGTCCTGGGATCAGTCCCTGGCATCTAAAGGTCCCAGCTGCAGGCTGGGACATTCCTGGAGATTTTGGGGGTGAAGCTATGGTTGCGTTGCCAGGTCCTACCTTGTCACTGGTGGGAGGCCTGGGGGGGGGGGGCGGGTGTATTCCAGAAGCAACATGTAAGCGACATCATTAGGTTGGGGACAGAGCCCCTTGGAAGGCTCCAGTGGCAACCGGTTTCAAAAACCATTTAACTTCCAATGGTTTCTCCAGGCGGGCGCCATGCAAGCCTGAACTCCAAGCAGCAAATTCACCGCTTGGAAATTAAAGCACAGGCAGCCTCTGCTTGCAAGAAATCATTTAAAGGGAACCTTCTCTTCAAATGGTTCTTACAAGCGGGGCCGCACACCTGAACGCCAAGCGGCGAATCTGTGCTCCTGCCAATCAGCTGGAGGGGAGGGAAAGGGGTGGCTGCTGCTGTTTGCTGTTGTGGGTGGGGCTTCCCCCTCCCCCGACAGCCAGCAGGTCGTTGGTGGACGGGAGCCTGTGAAATCGGGGGACCCCCTGCCCCCACCTGGGGACCGACAAGCCTAGGTGAAGCCTGGGGAAGGTTTGGAGAGGGCAGGGACCTCCGTGGGGTATAATGCCATAGAGTCCACCTTCCACAGCAGCCATTTCCTCCAGGGAAACTGATCTCTGTCGTCCAGCAATCCGGTATTATCCCAGGAGATACCAGACCCCATCTGGAAGTTGACAATCTTACTGGCATCTCCAATTAAAAGGCTCAGGTAGCAGGTGATGCGAAAGATCTTGTTGAGATGCTGCCAGTCAGAGCAAACAATACTGGTCTATAGCCCAATGATCTGACTCAGTATAAGGCAGCTTCATGTGTTCTTGCTAAAAGGCAGGGCTGTGCTGTGGCTCAGTGGTAGAGCACCTGCTTTGCATGCAGAAGGTCTCCGGTTCAGTCCTCGGCACGTGCCACTAAAGGGAGCCAGTGATATTTATGTGAGTCCAAAAATATCTGTGGAGGCCTCATGCTCTTAGGCAGCAAGGCTTAGCTGTAGACTTGCTGGAATCTGCTGGATGGAAGGGTCCGAATTCTGTGGCTAACAGGGAGCTGGGAGTTTCTTTGCACATTTCAACGACATGCCCATGTGACTTCCAATGTGGCCCGGAAGTGACGTAGACACGTTGGGGACATCAGGGCGATGCTCTGGTTTTTGGGCACAAACTCTGTGGTAGAATTAGCTTCTACCATAGAGTTTGTGTCCAAAAACTAGCGCATCGCCCCAAACATGCCCATGTCATGTTGAAGTCACATGGGCATATCGTTGAAATATCAGGCATTCCTCCCTTGTTTGGGGGGTAATTTCCCCCTGCCAGGCAGCTGATCTGCAGCAGAGAGGTGGGACCTGGCAGCGAGGCACCCTCGCCCCCACCAGGGGCGGGGTCTGGCATCCCTAAGCATCATCTCTAGCCATGGCTACAGAAGATTCTGCTACTGATGTCACAGTTTGCATCTTGCATCAGCAAGAATCAGTGGCACAAGGGGGTGCGGTGGAGGTCCTTCTAGTCTTGTAAAGTGCTGGATCCCGGCCTGGTTTTCTAGTTCGAGCCACCTGCTGCCCGGAGACACAGAGCCGTTCTTGAACTGGCCAGGAACCTTCACATTCTAGTATGTGACTGCTTTCAAGGTTCCCTCTCCACCTGAGAGCCAGTTTGGTGTAGTGGTTAAGTGTGCGGACTCTAATCTGGGAGAACCGGGTTTGATTCCCCACTCCTCCACTTGCACCTGCTGATGTGACCTTGGGTCAGTCACAAGCTCTGGCACAGCTGTCCTTGAAAAAGAGCAGTTTGTGTCAGAGTTCTCTCAGCCCCACCCACCTCACAGGGTGTCTGTTGTGGGGAGGGAAAGGGAAAGGAGGTTGTAAGCCACTCTGAGACTCCAAGTGAAGGGCGGGGTATAAATCCAATCTCTTCTTCTTCTTCTTCTTATATATACACACACACACATTAGGAGTGCATTGGGTTTGTTTTTAAGAGATTTTTAGGTATGCAATTCGAGTTGCCAACTTCAGCTTGGGAAATTCCTGAAGACTTGGGGCAGTGCCTGGGAAGGGCGCTCAGCGGGGATGTGGTACCACTGAGTCCACCCTTTGGCGCTGCCATTTCCTCCAGGGGAATTGACCTATATAGTTTGGAGATCAGTTGTAATTCCAGGAGAACTCCAGACCTCACCTGGAGGTTGGCACACCCATGTGCAATGCCAATGGACAATCAGAATAATCAGGAACTGAAGAGCCACTCCAAACAGTCAGCAGAATTCTAATAAGAAGCTTATGGGTACACCATTAATCAATTGATTCACAGACTTTACAGGATGCACGAGTTTCACTATCAATCACTCCTCCATGCGGTCTTACCTACCTGGCTGATGAGAATGCCAATGACACAGGCAAGCTGGTGAAATGTCCCCAGTGCCCCACGAAGGGGGGTTGGTGCTATCTCGCTCACATAGAGTGGGACAATCCCTGACATGATCCCTGGGAATGGGGGAAAAACCTGAGGTCATTTATCTGATTATATGAACTTCCTAATGAGAACCATCAATTACCCTTACAGTCTTTGCTTCCAAGTGATACAAGCACGCAATGTTTTTAAAAATACAGAAATATTGTAAAGTGGTGGAGTTTGGGGTTTTGTGGGGTTTTTTTTTTTTTAGAAATATGTGTCACTTTATTCAGTGTGGCTTGTTCCCATGTAATTTGTGCCTTATCTGTATTTAATTTATAGTACCCGTTACTATTCTGGCTAGGTCATCTGTCTGGGGAGTCTTTATAATAATGGTTTAGAGTTGCTAAGCCTCCACCGTGGGGAGGGACACCTCCCCCAGTTCCAACGCCAAGAGGCCTCAGGAGAAAGGAATACAAAACAATGGCAGGTCAATGGCATGAAGTCACTTCCAGGGAAAATGTGGAAGTGATGTCAGTCCTGTCTAGGAATCCTCAGAAATTCCATGTTTCCTGTGATTCCTAGAGAGGACTGACATCACTCTCAGGTTTCCCCATACAGTTTCCATGCAGGGTTTTCCTCATATATTTTCCAGCAATTCCTAGAGAGGTGTGATGTCACTTATGGGTTTATGAATTAAGAAGTAACCCGTTCTGGTTCAACCAGAAGTTTCTCTCTCTCATTCCAGTCCTGTCTTCCTGCATCGCCCATTACTTTTCCAAGCAGCCAGCAAAATCTCTCGGGGGACCAAGGGAGCAGTGATCTTCTGCAGAGCCTTTGGCATCCACTTACCACAATAGAGTCCTGTGATGAGTCGTCCTATAATAATAAGGATGTGTGAGATGGCGGTCATTGATGCAACACCCAAGAAGATATTTCCAGAGATTGCAAGGATATTCAGCAGTTGCAGGGCCCTAACTCTGCAAAAAAGAAGGGAAATTAATAAGAACATAAGAGACGCCAATGTTGGATCAGGCCAAAGGCCCATCCAGTCCAACACTCTGTGTCACACAGTGGCCAGAAATACCAGTGCCATCAGGAGGTCCACCAGTGGGGCCAGGACATTAGAAGCATTAGAAATTAATTCAGCATCAGAAAATAAGAACACCCCCGTTGGATCAGACCAGTGGTTCATCTAATCCTGTCTCACACAGTGGCCAACCAGTTCCTCTGGTGGTCCAACAACAGGGCATAAAGGCTGCGGCTTTCCCCTGATGTTGTCTCCTGGCACTGGGATTCAGAAGCTGACTGAATGAGGGGGACTGAGAGATTGAGGGGTTTATAGGGGATGGATACCTTTATATGTCCAATTACATGAGCCTCACCGAGCAAAGGGACCTGGGTGAGCATGTGGTTGCCAGTCGGGTTGGGAGGTTCCTGGAGGTTTGGAGGTGGAACCTGAGGAGGGCAGTGTTTGGGGACGGGAGGGACCCCAGTTGGGTATCATGCCATAGAGTCCACCCCCCCAAAGGGGGGAATTATCTCTGTAGTCTGGAGATCAGTTATAATTCTGGGGGATTCTCCAGGCCCTACCTGGAGGATAATAGAAAAGGAATACGGACACGGGAATCTAATCTAATAGCCTTAGATAAATACTCTATGCTTTTTTAAAACAAGAATTATTCAAATAACAAGTCCAAATGTGTTTTTTTTTGTTTTCGTATTATGAAATGTTCATAAGTATTCTAATATCCAGTTTTCTATGGTTTCATACATAACACAATGAAAAAAAATACAATAACATAAACCAATCGCAAGATAGAAAGCTCATGAATAACAAGACTGGGGTGTGTTATTTACAAAGTCACCGAAGTGGGGAAAAGGTCCTTTTAAAACAATGGTATCAATAAAGATATAAACCTTGAACCGGACCAATTTTTTCAAAAGCCATGGAACATCCACGAAATGCCGAAATGAGTTTAGCAGGGCTTAGAACTCCACAATATGTCCACATAGGAGCGGTAGTCGTTAAGCTGTTTAAATTTAGTGGATGTTCCATGGTTTTTGAAGATATTGGTCCGGTTCAAGGTTTATATCTTTATTGATACCATTGTTTAAAAAGGACCTTTTAAAAAACTTTGATAAATTTGTAAATACACACCCCAGTCTTGTCATGAGCTCTCTACCTTGTGATTGGTTTATATAATTGTAGTTTTTTTCATTGTGTATGTATGAAACGATAGAAAATTGGATATTAGAATACTTACGAACATTTCACAATAAAAAAGTATTTGATTAATTATTGTTTAAAAAGCATACAGCATTTAGCTTAGGCTATTAGATTACATACCTGGAGGTCCGGCAGCCCTATGCATTGCAGTCCCTAACCACTTTAACCACATGCAGCTGTGTAACATCTGTTCTATCCCTGGCAGAAAGGTTTCCTATTCCTTTACCATAAAATATTCTTGGCGTTCTAAATCTCTCTAAATTGCACCATTTGAGACTGATGCCCATCTCTGTTGAAGCTTCACTCCTCCTGACTGCAAATCCAGAACAGGATTTAGTTCTTCTTTCCTCCTTTGTAAATTTCATTGTTTTCATCCTTGGCTATCTAAAACCAGTTGTTTGGTCATCCAAAATGTGGGGGGAGGCAAGTGGGAGTAGGAGCGACCTCGTCAGCCGTTGAAGGGAGCATCAGCTTTATTGGACTTCCATGGCAACTTGCTCCAGCTTTGCTCCGGTTGGGATAATGACAGCAGAAATTGAGAAGGTTTTGAGTAATGGCAAACCAGGGTTTGGCACTCGGTGCCTGAAGCCTTCAGTTCACTCATCCTTGGTCTGCAAACCAGGATTCCAAACTGGTTGGCAACCATGGTTTGGAGTCTTGATTTGCAGAGCCGGTACAACCATAAGTTGCTACACAAGCTTCAGTATAACGAATTTGAATGTGATACTTTGAGAGGAAGAGGAATCATATAAATGCATCCAAGGCTCCAACCAGATTTTTTTCATCTCAACCATGCATTTGTGTGTGTGACTGTAGGGACTGGGGCACATCTGTAAATTGGTTACATATTGGATGTGCCCTTGAGGGGCAGTGTGTTCCTCCATTCCCTACTGGACATGTTCAATCGGTAATTTAGGACGCTGCCTTGGAAACACTCTTCGTTGACCCTTACCTCTGCTGTCCCTAGCAGCAGCGTTATGTAGGATGAGCTAAGGGTGGAAGTGGGAGTGATACACTCCCATTGGAAAGCAGTGTAAGAATCTGCTTGCTGGATAAGACCAAAGATCCATCTCGTCCAGCATTCCAGTTCCAGAAGCTTCAGAGCTAGTGATTCTCTTCTCCTGCTACAGCATCTTGTGTTCTTAGGGACCCTGCTTGTGAACATGAAGGTTCCGTTTCACTGTTCTGGATAATAGCCACTGATGTCATAGGGCTCTTCCACATTCTGATCTTCATCACTTGTGTGTCCCTATTGCCTCAGGGTCCTCCCCCACCCAATGTGTTTTGCTGTCTCTAGCAGTGGGGGGGGGGGGACAACGGGATCCAAAGCAATAGGGACAAATGAGTGACGAGATTGCAGAAGAGCCCGTAGTCATCCTTGAATGTGGCGAATCCATTTTTAGAGCCACCTGAACTAAGCAGCTAATGTAGTGTGGCTGTGCAAAGAGGAACTTACTTCCATTTGTCCTAAACCAAAGCCAATGAATTTCATTGATGGGTCCCTGAGTTGTAGTGTTATGAGAAAGGGGGGAAAGTAAGACCGATTTCACACAAGAGCTGCTCGGCGGTCGCGCCTCCCTTTGCCCCGCTTCTATTGGTCAATTTCCCACTCGAAGCCGCACAGCCGCATTTTGACCCACGGCTTCACTTGATTTTTCCCATGTTTCGTGATCCTGTTTTTTGAGGATCACGAAACCGCGGGGAAAATCGGGTGAAGATGTGGGTCAAAATGCGGCCACATGGCTTCAAGTGGGAAATTGACCAATAGAAGCAGGGCAAAAGGAGGCACGACCACAGCGCAGCTCTTGTGTGAAATCAGTCTAACTCTTTTATCCACTCCATAAACACCTAGCTTGTAGTTGAATGCAGCATTCCCATGTTGAGTTCTCCCCTTCCCCTCCAGTAAAGTATAGTATTTATTTATTTAATTATTCCAATTTCCATCCCACCCTTAGCATGTACTTATTGACCCATTGCTGTGATATTTATTTATTTTATTAGGCTTGTGAATCGTCCACCCTGCAAGCAAGCTCTGAGCGATTTACAACCTTAACAACATTTAAAATACGTTAATATATAATTAAAGTTACCAAGAATAGACATAAACGAAAACTAATCCGAGATGGCAATATAGTAATCCTCCTTTGCCGGCCACACCGCTGTCTCACATGGCAGGGCAGGGCAGGGCAGGGTCTGTGGGGGCCATAGAAAGGAAAGAGCAGGTGCCAGAGGTTGCCTCAACTAAAAGCCTGGTGGAACACCTCTGCCTTACAGACCCTGTAACACATCCTGCAGGGCCCTGATGTTCTTCGGCAGAGAGTTCCACCAGGTCGGGGCCGGTACCAAAAAGGCCCCGGCCCTAAGTCGAGGACAGCCAGACCTCCCTAGGGCTGGGGATCACTAGCAAATTGTTATCAGCCAATCACAGCGTTCTTCTGGGGACATAATGGAGGAGATGCTCCCTGTTTCACCTGACTGGTGAATGTTCCCCTCTTCCACCTGATTGGCTATGGTTGATGGGTGAGGCCAAACCCACTATGTGATGACATCACAATATGAAATACACATGATGTTGCCTGCCAACGTTCACGATGCTTGTAACAACTAGTTTCACCTTTTAAGTGCCGGACAAAGGAGAGTTTGTGTTACTCAGAAGCTCACGTGCTGCATTGGGAACCATGGTTGGTCCAAAATGGAGATACCATTGTGCCAATCACATGAATTTTATTACAACAGGCCAACGTGGCTACTAGGTTTCGATTTAAGCACCAATGAGTTAATTGGCTTCTCATGATAATTTCTCTACCGTGCCTGGCTGCGGCAGGTGCTTAATAAATGATAACAATTATTATTATTATTGCATAAGCCAGTGGGCCATTAGCCTTGTGCAGTCTAGCATAGACTAGCATAGCAATTAGGATTCCCCACTGGCATTAGAGATTGGGTCTGATCCAGGCTGAATTGGCAGTTTCCACCGATTCCCCCTTCCCACTCACTTCTCACTGTCCCCAAGGATCACCATTCTGTAGGTGGAAATTTTAGTCAGGATCCAACCCCTGAAGTGTTTGGGTTGGGTTTTTTTTTTTGGTTAATGCTCGCTTCTAAAAGTGTACAAAGATTATTCCTCACCTTCCCATTTTGTCTCCAATCGCGCCAACAGCGAAGGAGGAAATCATTCCACCAACCGCAAACATCGCCACAGACATGGACCAAAGCATAGTAATTGTAGGATGTTTGCCAACATCTGCAGGGGGGGCATTTGTCCCGCCCGTTGCATTGCCTGAGTCTTCGATTACAATTTTCAGCACATCAGCATAGTGGGCCTCTATGATCTATTGGGGACAAAAATGTATCAGTCTCTTCACAAGCCCCCAAACCACCCGTAGAGCTTTCATTCCCTCTGCAGCACCAGGGAGTGGCAGGAACACATGTCCCAGAAGCAAACTCAAGTGTGCTGCCAAGTGTGTACTCAGTAACAGACAGCCAATCCTAGCTCTTGAATAAATGGACCTCAGATTTCCAAGCACACATTTGACTCATTCACATTTTATTTCTAGGCTTTGCAGGTCTTTTCGGAAAGCTGGGCAGACATCCCTGGGCCTTGGTGCATCCAAGGAGGCCAAAGAACCAAGGGCCACATATGAACACTGTAAAAACAGTGGGCTGGATCCTATGCTCCCTGTAAGCTGTGGAGTCTTGTGAGCAAAAATTCTACTTTGTGAGCTACTGGCAATAAAGTTGTGAGCAAGCAGTTGGGCTACTGCATGAATTAGTTTGCTCTGGAGCCATCCTTCCTGAACTAAGACAGAAATCTGTGAGCCAGAGGCTAAAAAACTGTGAGCTAGCTCACTCTAACTCAGCTTAGAGGGAACACTGGCTGGATCCTATGGCCGCAATCCTGAGAACACTTTCCTGGAAGCAAGCCCCACTGAAGAAAATGGGACTTACTTTTGAGTAAACCTACTTAGGAGCGCTCTTTTCCTTTAAGGGGAAAAGACTTTCTCCAATGGAGAATATATATTTTTTCCTGTTGAAAAAAGGCCTTTTCTTTTGGAAAAAAATGTCTCTGTTGAAGGGGACTCTTGGCCCAAAGGGACTCATAGGATCCAACACGGTAAATAAAATCACATTTACTTACCTTTTGGGGAGCATTGATAACACCAATGCAGTATCCATACTGGAAGAAGCCCAGGACAGCAGTGAAGACAGCAAAAATCAAGGAGCCTGTAAGATACTAGGAAGGGGAGGACATAGTGTTAATTTCTGTCCTGAAATCGTCTTATTGAGCAACTCTGTGGATAGAAGAGAACTGAAAAACATTTGTTCTGACTATCTGCCCTGAGTCACTGTAAAAACCATAAAGGATTGTCTGAGCAAATCCCCCCAAGGCAGGATACCAAAAAGGGGGTGACGCATCTGATTTGCGCAGCAATGTATACAAAATATGCAAGATGCTGGTTTGCCAGGTCTGAGTCCAACTGATCTGAGCAGCAGATTTGTCACTTCCCCCCCCCCCCCCCCCTCCTGGCACACTTTACAATGCACCAAATGCCGAGGGCTTGAGGAACGTGATCAGGCGCCTAAGAGGGCCGTCACACCCAGCTGGTGGTCGGTGTTTGGTCTGATGGATTTTAAACTGGGCAGGTCAGGCACATTACTAGTAAAAAATTGTTTATATTCTTGTCAACGGTTTCAGCTCCCTGCTTTTCACTGTCAGTTTTATAGGTTTCTTTGTATAAAGTACTCATTTTGTCTGGGGGGGGGTTTGTTACAGAATATATATGGCATTTATATGTATCCTGTACGATAGATAGATAGATGATAGATAGACAGACAGACAGACGGACGGACGGACGGATGGATAGATATAGATGATAGACAGACAGACAGACAGACAGACAGACAGACAGACAGACAGACAGACAGACAGATAGATAGATAGATAGATAGATAGATACAGATGATAGATAGATAGATAGATAGATAGATAGATATAGATGATAGATAGATAGATAGATAGATAGATAGATAGATAGATAGATAGATAGATAGATAGAGATAGATGGATGGATGGATGGATGGATGGATGGATGGATGGATGGATGGATGGATGGATATAGATGATAGATAGATGATAGATAGATAGATAGATGATAGATAGATAGATAGATAGATAGATAGATAGATAGATAGATGGATGGATATAGATAGATAGATAGATAGATAGATAGATAGATAGATAGATAGATAGATAGATAGATAGATAGATAGATAGATAGATAGATGGATAGATGGATGGATAGATGGATGGATAGATGGATAGATGGATGGATGGATGGATGGATGGATGATGGATGGATGATGGATGGATGATGGATGATGGATGGATGGATGATAGGTGTGTATGTTAAATGCCATCAAGTCACTTCTGACTTAAAGTTAATAAACTCCAAAATGTCCTATTGTTAACAGTCTTGTTCAGGTCTTGTAAACAGAGATCCCCCTTTTCCCTTTTTTTCATATGAACGTATGAAGGTGCCTCATACTGAATCAGACCCTTGGTCCATAAAGGTCCATAAAGGTCCCTCAGACTGGCAGGGGGTGGGTCTCCAAGGTCTCAGGCTGAGGTCTTCTACATCACCTCCTACCTGATCCTTCTAACTGAAGAAGCCAGGGATTGAGCCTGGGACCTTCTGCATGCCAAGCAGATCCTCTGCCCCTGAGCCACAGCCCCTCCCCTCATTTTCTCTTGCAAACTGAAGGCCATGGCTTCCTTTATTGAGTCAATCCATCTCATGGTGGGTCTTCCTCTTTTCCTGCTGCCTTCAAGTTTCCCTAGCATTATTGTATTGTCCAGTGAGTCTTGCCTTCTCATGATGTGACCGAAGTACGATAGTCTCAGTTCAGTCATTTCAGCTTCTAGGGAGAGTTCAGATTTGGTTTGATTTTGACAGTCTACGATATCAGTAAAACTCTTCTCCAATACCACGTTTCAAACAAAAGAACTTTGTTCCTTTCTTCCTTCCCTGTTCAACTTCCATGCCAATACATAGTAATTGGGAGTATTGTGGCATGAATTATCTTGAACTTGGTCACCAGCAGCACATCCTTACTCTTAAGGATATTTACTAGTTCCTCCATGGCTGGCTGTCCAAGTTTCAGCCTCCTTCTGATTGCTTCCTTTCAGCCTCCCTTTTGGTTGATGACTGAGCCAATCTTGAACAATTTCTGCTTCTTCATCATTAACCTTAAAGGTGTGTGATTCTTCAGTAGTAATTATTTTCATCTTCTTGATGTTCTACTGTAATCCTGCTTTGACACTTTCTGCTCCAACTTTCATCCGTAGTCATTTCAAGTCTTCATGTCTGCATATCTCAAATTGTTAATGTTCTTTCCACCAATTTGCACTCCCCCTTCTTCTAAATCTAATCCATCTTTCTTTATGATTTGTTCTGTGTATAGATTGAAGAGATATGGATGTAAATACATCCTTGTATGATACTTTTGATGACAGGAAACCATTCAGTTTCTTCATATTCTGTCCTAACAGTGGATAGGTTGTGCTTCAAAACAATCAAATGTTGTGGCATGCCCATTTCTTTTAAAACCATCCATAACTTTTCATGATCCACACATTTCTTTTGGCTACAGGAATAGTCTCCGTGCATTCTTCCTTCTTTCTCTGGTTTCAATCCATAGTTCTTCCAATTCATATTCACTTGAATTTGGTAATGCAAATCTGTTATTTTCATGGTATTTAAACTCTTCAAGAATGTTGTTTAGGTTGTATTTTGGCACTGTGAATGTTTTGGTGTTTTTCTTCAGCTTTATTTTAATTTTTTATATTAATAGTTTGTGGTCTGTACCACAAGCAGTTCCTGGTCTTGTTTTAGCAGAGAGAACAGAGCTCTCCATCTTCTGCTTCTGTGCAATTGTCATATATATTCTAACTGCCAAGTCAGTCAAATCTGAGGACACTTAAATTTGGTGATTGGATCTATGAATAGGCAGACAGATCTTTCAACAAACCTGAAAGATACCCCAGGTTTTCAGAAAAATATGAAATCTAAAAAAATGCATTGGGCTATTTTAACCCACTCCAGTATGTTTGCCAAGAAAACCCCATGGACAGTATCAAAAGGCTAAAAGATATGACGCCGGAAGATGAGCCCCTCAGGTCGGAAGGTGTCCAATATGCTACTGAGGAAGAGCAGAGGACAAGTACAAGTAACCCCAGAAAGAGTGAAGCGGCTGGGCCAAAGCCGAAAGGACGCTCAGTTGTGGATGTGTCTGATGGTGAAAGGAAAGTCCGATGCTGCAAAGAACAATACTGCATAGGAACCTGGAATGTAAGATCTATGAATCAAGGTAAGCTTGACGTGGTCAAAAATGAGATGGCAAGACTGAACATCGATATCCTAGGAATCAGTGAACTAAAGTGGACAGGAATGGGCGAATTTAACTCAGAAGACCATTATATCTACTACTGTGGCCAGGAATCTCGTAGAAAAAATGGTGTGGCCTTTATAGTCAACAAGAGAGTGCAAAAGGCAGTACTGGGATACAATCTCAAAAATGACAGAATGATTTCTGTCCGATTCCAAGGCAAACCATTCAACATCACAGTAATCCAAGTCTATGCCCCAACCACTGATGCAGAAGAGGCTGAAGTGGACCGGTTCTATGAAGACCTACAACACCTCCTAGGACTAACACCAAAAAATGATGTCCTCATCATCATAGGGGACTGGAATGCTAAAGTAGGAAGTCAAAAGGTAACCGGAATAACAGACAAGTTTGGCCTTGGAAAGCAAAATGAAGCAGGGCAAAGGTTAACAGAGTTTTGTCAAGAGAACACACTGGTCATAGCGAACACCCTTTTCCAACAACCTAAGAGGCGACTCTACACATGGACATCACCAGATGGGCAACACCGAAATCAGATTGACTATATAATTTGCAGTCAAAGATGGAGAAGCTCTATCCAGTCAGTAAAAACAAGACCTGGAGCTGACTGTGGTTCAGATCATGAGCTACTCATTGCAAAATTCAGACTTAAACTGAAGAAAATTGGGAAAACCACGAGGCCATTCAGGTTTGACCTAGATCGCATCCCTGATGAATATACAGTAGAGGTGAAGAATAGATTCAAGGGTCTGGATTTGATAGATAGAGTGCCTGAAGAACTATGGACAGAGGTTCGTGACATCGTACAGGAGGCAGCAATCACCAC